ATTGCGATGTTTACGTGGAATGCTTTCCTCCTACTTTCTATCGCAATAGTTGCCTTGGTAATTTGCTTTTCTTTTTTTCTTAGCTTTAAAAAAAACAAGATTGTTTCAAAATCTCCCTATTTTAGATGCTCAAAAGCTTTCGGAGCTCATTTTCGACAAAACAGCGTTAAAACATCCTCATCCGGCAATTTTAAAATAAACTTATTTTGTTAAGAAAGTAAGGGCATGCGGGAGATCGTAGTAATTATGCAGTTTTTGAGTATTTGTTCTTTGTTACATGGTAGGTGGAAGAGGAGGCAGGGGAACAAAGGGAAAGGAAGGGGAGGGAGAGAGGGGCAGGGGGAAGGGAAAAGGTTAAACTGTTTATTTGTTTTTCCTTTTCAGTAAGTAATACGATTTACCACTTTCTCTTTTTTATAAAAAAAAGTTGAAAATTGCATATAATTATATCATATTTAAACAATATTTGTTCATAATTTTTTGAAGTGTATTTATATGTGTATGTTCAGAAAATTGGTTTCAGTGTAGCCCACCAACACAGTCTTCAGTTACGGGAATTTTATCGCCGACAGTTTTACCTGAGATTCCTGGTGACGAAGTATTTGTTATACTAATGAACGAAAAGAACACACTGAAAACGCACTCATTAGATCTGGATGATCAGGAACGTCAGCTTAGACGTGCTGAATTTGCGGCCGATTGCTGGCCTACTCAGTGGCAACAAAGACAGTTCAGCAGACGCAGAGCTGAGCTCGCGAAGCAACGTGACCAGTACCGCTCTGCTTGTAAGGAATTAAACGAATGCTTCCAACTCTATTACGAACTTTACCGCGGCAAAAATGTGAGCACTAATGTTAGGCATGTAAATTCAACTCGTTACATCATTGATAAAAATCAGCCTGGAACTAGCTTCCAAGGCTGAACATAGCCACTGGTCCAACTCATTTGAATAATTTCTTTGAATAAACTTTCATTGTCTTAGTCACATTTGATACATCATAAACACTCACACCGAATGGGAGCGCGAAAGAAAATGATTTTCAAGCTTTCTCCCAGAATCCATGTGTGTTTATGTGTACGTATGTTTGTGAATGTCTGTCTGTATGTATGTAATGGAAATCGAGGATGACAAAGCAAAAAATCAGAGATTTGCGAGAGGCTGCCTTGAACTGAAAGGATTGCAACGTAACAACTCCG